AACATTATAAACCATTTAACTTCAGTGGATTCACATCGGACATTAGTATTTTTACGAAAACATTACCTAACGTCATCGGTGGAAACTCGACCTGTAATCAGCGTGTGATCAGCGAGGCCCACATAGCTAGCTAGCTCTCTAGTGAATTGTACTAACGTCAACTCGTAATTAACTCGCTCATCATGAACCCTCGATAAGATAATGAAAATTTCAGACTAGAAAGAATACTTTATATTGCTTGTAAGTTTATGAAACTTTTGTTTATAAATCATTGTTTGTAATAACTATCTGTAATAACTGTTATTGTAAATTGTATTACTGTTTGTATATTAAAACTTATTTGTGTTAAAAAAAAAGAAAACTGTGTGTATCAATCTTGTTGGCAAATATAAATTGGAAATATATCGGCATTTATTTAACTACTAAATCTAAATTTCATTTTAATTCTGTTTTAGGTTATTTAAAATTGTAATACGTAACATTTGTATCAAGACATACTTTAGCTTGGAAGAGCTCTTTAACAAATCTAGTAACTTTAAATATTTCCAGTTAGGGCACTTGCCGATGAATAGTAAAATTACTATGTGTACAGTACATGTTGTACTTTTATAATTATTTGTCCATATATTTAACCTTTAAAAGCCTAAGCCATGACAATCAGAAAGGTGTTAATGAAATATCACTTTAGAACGAAACTTAAGAAACTAGTATTTTCTAGTAACTTCTAAGTCTTTGTTTAGTTTGATTGAAATTTATTATCATTATTATTATTACATTAAAATAATTTGGTTCAAATATGTAAACATGATACATTTTATCCATATCAGAGTACTGGCAATGTGCTTGTTTTGTTGCAAGAGAAACAGTACAGACAGAACTAGTGGCCGTTTTGAAAATTACCCTTCAAAATAAGATAAAAATATCAACAAAAATGTGTCAGTGATATTTCCATATAATTACCTTAAAGTTCTGAATAATAAATTAGACTAACTGTTTACTCTATTGGGATACACGTAATATTAGAATGGGCTATGTTTCTTAGTAATAATAGGCGGACTCAGCGTGGTCTATCGAGTACCGCAAGTTTCTGGTAAGTCTATTATTTGAATGTAGGCTATTCTTCAAGAAATACAGAACGTGATTTGTAACTAACGTTTGGGGGCACAATATTTTTCTTGTGGCTAATGATGTTAGACTCCTGATAAGGCTGCTTTTGCTAGGCGGATACCGAGTATCGTATACCTTTAAAAGTCGGATAAATCCTTGCTCTTACCCATTGGCTTCAGATTAACAATGACGTAAGTATATTTTTATATGGCTCAGGCAATCACGTGGACGAAGCACATGATAAGTCTGTTTTTCATATGTAAGTGTTCTACAAATATATGTTTGGTAAAAGTCCTAATAAAGTGGTCTGTCAGTGCATTTGGTGCTTAATTTTTGTATTAAATACCATATCATGTAAATGCAGTAGTAACTAATGGGTTACTTATGAAGTTAAAAAAGATTAATACACCAAAAACGAGTGCTGCTAGTTTATGAAATTTATGTCACTCTTATTCAGCTACGTATTTCAAGATTGATGGCCCGGCATGGCCAGGTGGTTAGGGCACTCGACTCGCAATCTGAGGGTCGCGGATTCGAATCCCCGTCCCACCAAACATGCTCGCCCGTTCAGCCGTGGGGGCGTTATAATGTGACGGTCAATCCCACTATTCGCTGGTAAAAGAGTAGCCTAAGAGTTGGCGGTGGGTGGTGATGACTAGCTGCCTTCCCTCTAGTCTTACACTGCTAAATTAGGGACGGCGAGCGCAGATAGCCCTCGTGTAGCTTTGCGCGAAATTCAAAATAAACAAACAAGATTGTCATTTTCCGTCACTGAGAGAAAAAATATTAAGGTTACGTCAAAATAACGCCCTGCAAATTTCGAGAGTAACTTCACATGGTTTTTAGTTTAAGTATTTCCAAAACAATTAGTGTTCTTGTTGTTAAAAGAACCATGCTATGTTACTTTATTCGCAGCCATTGACCATGGAGGCTTAAATTTTTATTGTTTTTCGCTCCGAATTAATATCCTACAATGTATAATCCATGATTCTATTTCTTTCTTATTTAATGACTGGAAACTGGGCGACATCTATATTATTGTTTCTCAAAATATAACATTCTATGTTTCAAGGTTCATAATATTCTGCCAGGTATGACATGAACTTATAATTTATGGAGATATGTCTATCACAAAAACGATCATTTAACAAAATTGTCAAAAGTTTTAGTATATTATAATTGATATGCTTGTTTTAATTTTTGAAGTTAAGGAATAGTGGACAACTGAAACATTCCAGGAAAACAAACTGACACAGATGGTTCTAATTTGTACCCTCCCGGTGTCTCAGCGTTAAATCATTGGGCCGTCTAACGCTAAAGATCGGATTTCGAAACCCGCTACGGGCATAGCACAGATAGTTCACTTTGTGCTTCACAACAAACAAACTAACTGTCCGGACTACTCTTGCTTCGTAGTCAGATGGTAAATTGCACGTGAATGGGTCGAAACGACTAGAACTTTGTTAATTATATTCTGTTTAGCTGTCACATAACTTTTAAACGAACTAAACTAATTAATCCAATAATAAAGTCCAATTAAAAAAAAATTCTCTACACATTTTTAGAATGTGTAAAGCAGACCACTAGGGGTGGATAATGGAATAGGTAACATATGAAGCTGCTAAGCAACCACGATATATGGCACGAAAGAATGAAAAAGAGTTTGTAAGGTAATTATAGTTGGTTGTGAATATATTAGCGCCACTAGTTTCACAAACCACACACTGGATGAAAACGTGAATGAAAAATATAAAGGTGGTCAGTAATTTGGAATTACCATTACACTAAACGAAAGCACAATTAATATTGCTATATACAATTCTGCATTATTGCAGTTTACAGCCTTAGATGAAGGTGAAGTACGTATTGCCACATTATAGAACACTGGAGTCAATCGTCATCTCGCTTTTTTTATGTCAGATGTGAAATAACATGTTATTTGTTTATCTGTTATCGCCCTAAAAGAAAGTGAGATATATAAAATAATTTAGTTTAATGGTTATAATAGTAGAGAATTGACTGAAGGATAACCTATTTTTCGCTATTATCTATCTATCTGTGGTAAATTAAAATGTTAGTACCTGGATGACGTAAAGAAAACTTCCCTATCTCGTCACCTGAAACACAATTGTCAAATGGGAGGAAAACTGTATTCCTAGAAACAACAAAGTATGTAAAACATTGTAATAATGAATATCATTGTGAACTAACTTATAATTACTTTATCTTAATAAACATTAGACTTATCACAGATTTAGTGCTTCGAACTATTGAACATTCCATATTCAGTGGAAATATAACAGTATCACGTTCATCCTTGAGAATTTTAATATGCGGAATCAACGACGATAGCTAATGCACGAACAGTTTAGCCGTTTATTCCACTGAAATATACATGCACTAAACGTTGTCACAGGTGCGCTATTCCACGCAAACACTGTAGCAGCAAGGCCCTAATCCCTAGAAAGGAACATAGAAGAATTTTGCGGGCGGTCGCTTATCCATGGTAGTTAATCTTGCCTGCTTACAATACCCGCATACGTAAGCCTAATGAATTAAATATCACGCTGCAGTGCTCAAACAAGCGAGACTTACACCGGATTCTCGACCAACGTAGTCTTACTAGTTCTGGTCGATAAAAGCATTAACTTAAGCCTATTTCATGAGATATGTATGAATATCCTTCGTAAGAAAAAAACTTCAAGAGGCCCCCCAGAATGCTGCTTGAGTGCATAACAAGTTATGAAAGTGTCAGATACAACTTCACAGTGCAAATCATTAAACAAAGTTTGAAAAATAAATCTTTAAAATCGATAACAGTAAAAAATAAAAGAAACGTATAAAGAAATAATTTCTTGTTAGATAACCCATTGATATATTTCTTTTTTTTACCAAGTATGGCGAAGGAAAATCTACTTTTATAATATTATATTTCTTATCATAACTTTCTAAAGATCTGAACTTTTTGGTTTTATCGTCTAATAGCTGAAGTACAACGATCATCTTCCTATCGTCTGTCCTTTTCTAAGTAATGGATATTAAATGAAGAACGGTATGAGTTGTGTGTATGTATGTATGTGTTTTATGGAAAGCCACATCGGGCTATCTGCTGTGTCCACCGAGAGGAATCGAATCTCTGATATTAGCGTTGTGAATCCGTAGACTTACCGCTGTCCCACCAGAGGACCGCTATGAGCTATTGTTATGTATCGGAATGAGGACCTCGATTTTTATATTACTACTCACAGTTTAACAAACTAAAACCGAACTACTATCTTTCATGAAGCTATCGTTTAATAAACAATTTGTAATTCCCTGTATTTATGGCAAAGCTACTAAGTCTATCTCCCCACCTCCCGTCTGTAATTTTGAGCTACTGACTAGTTATGACAAAGCTACTAAGTCTATCTCCCCCCGTCTGTAATTTTGAGCTACTGACTAGGGAGATGTTAGCCAGTTAGCAGCACCCTACCAACCACCATCCTTGCTAAGAGATTAATTGTAACTCTTATAATGTACCAATAGCTTAAAATTCGGGAAATAGTTTATGATATCGCATAGACTCGCCAGATCCGAAATTCATAATTTTACTACAAATGCAACTAAAATCCTTATTTAACAAACCCACTACAAGAAAGTAGCATAACCGTACAGGAGGATTTTGTTACCTTTCACTGTTTATCCAGAATATACCAGAACAATATTTCTTCTTTTTATTTGTAAACTCTCTCAACATCATTCCGAGAATATAGAATTTTTCCTCAGATTCTTCTTTATTTTTCTCTCTCACTTGGTTTTCGCATAATTATTTTACATGATTTTAGGTTTTTCTGTATCTTTAAGTACTTATATTTATTTTATTTAAAAACAAAAACTCTCAGTCGTTTACTTACAAGTTGCATTCACAAGTTGAGGTAGGTATTGCTGCCAGAAGGCGCAGTATTCCGCTCGAGGACCTCGACCAGTCTTGGTCGAGTTAACATCTAAGGTTAAGTATTCTCGACCGTAGGGGGTGTACACAGGCCAATATATCTTCTCCCATTTTTCACCAGGGCTCAGACTTGGTTTTCTATTTAAAAAAAGAATATAATGGATAAAACAATCAAAAATACATAAACAATCCTCACTGTAACATGAAGATCATGTAACGTGTTTAAACCTAATAGCGACGATGCTACAGATTAGGATGTTAATTACACAGTTTCAAAAGTTCATACATATTGTAGTTTTTCGGTTAAAATATGTGACTTTTAATACGGCAGGAAGCTTCTGCCTATACTGGGATAACACACTAATTACAAATTATTTGACGAAAAACTAACCCTGCGACCTTTGGTAAATGAAGTCACTAGCAAATGGGAGGGAAAAACAAACAGATTATCTAAATAAGTTTAAAAAAACTCAAACAATAATACTGAAAATCTAGTCAACAAGTGGTAACATTACATTCAAAATATTAAAAACAAGTTAAAATAAATTATCTGACAAAGTACAACATCCCATTTCCTAAAAATGCGTTTTTTCTGAAGAAGATTCTGTTTTAAAAAATCATGGAATATGTATCACATCAGGTTTTTTAACACACTTTCATTTGTTCGTCTTGAACAAAACACTTAATCTCACAAAGGCCAAGATTTTGAAATAATATATTTAACGGACGTTTAACTACGACAACAGAAAGGTTCTGTTATCCGAAAACCAATTACTGTGAACCAAATACTACATGTTCAGCAAAAAATATTTTTTTCTTTTTTATGAACATCACAAATTGTATTTAAATGCAACAGAATTTGATACACGCTATATTCTATGCAGATTTAATACGTGTCAGATGTTGGGTCTTCAGGCTATGGCAGGTTTTTACAAAAAATAATTTACATATGTTTTTACTTTCCTTAGTTTAACGTAAACAGAGGTAGACAGAACCACTGAACGCTGGCATCAACCCGATACGCTAAACGGATCGTTTCCATGTTTTTACACTAAGAGCCTGACTTCATTAAAATAATATGTATATATTTAAAGTAAACGATATATCTAAATTGAAAAATGTCGCTGGTAAACCCTCGCTTACTTGAAAAAAAATAACTTTCTGATTTTTTTGGAATTTTAATTCAAACAAACAATTATTTTGTAAGTTTTCCATAAAGGTGATTAGGGGTACCACTTTCAAAAAAATGTCAAAACTTTAATAGTCCACATTTTGATGCGCGAGAAGACAATGGCTTTCTTATTCGTTTTATCTTAGCATGTTTCATGCAACGATAATGCGAAATAAAATAAATACAACACCTTATTCTGCTTTAGGTAAACAAGAAAAATGTGGATCTAATATCGGTACTGCTAATAATTTGTACTAAACACTCGATATAGGATAGGATAAGTATATTCCGGCACGTTTTAGAGGTGCATAAGATAATACCGAATAAAATCTAGATTTGGTAACTAAATAATTTAGACGACATAATAGAAACTTAATTTAGAAAACACGTGTAAATGTCATCAAACTTATTTGCCGTACTAATAAAACTTAAATCAGAATCTAGATACCGTTTTTTTTATATTACTGCTGGTAATTAATCACTGGTAGTGAGTCTTAATATTATCCATCACTAACACAGATCACGTTTTCTGAATCGTATATAGTCACTGGTGGTGAGTTTTAATACTATCCTTCACTAATGAATCACTTTTCACTGAAACGTGTATAATCACTGGTAGTGAGTCTTAATATTACCCATCACTAACACAGATCACGTTTTCTGAATCGTATATAGTCACTGGTGGTGAGTTTTAATACTATCCGTCACTAATGAATCACTTTTCACTGAAACGTGTATAATCACTGGTAGTGAGTCTTAATATTACCCATCACTAACACAGATCACGTTTTTTGAATCGTATATAGTCACTGGTGGTGAGTTTTAATACTATCCGTCACTAATGAATCACTTTTCACTGAAACGTGTATAATCACTGGTATTGAGTCTTAATATTACCCATCACTAACACAGATCATGTTTTTTGAATCGTATATAGTCACTGGTGGTGAGTTTTAATACTATCCGT